TCCGAGTTATAACGAAGAAGTTATGACCCGTTGAAGTTTCGCGACGGAACCGACGATACCGGGAAGCGTAAATAGTGAATTTACGATAGAGCGAGATTTAGCCTTAGCGATCTAAACGAAAGTCGTAGAAATATGTTAAACTAAGAACATCGATAAAAAGAACGCCCAAATCTGACTTCGTATGAGGAAGTTATGATTTTTCTAAGATTTAGCATAGTAGTGCACAGCCCGAAATCTGAATTTTAGATCGGTCGATTTTTAGCCGACGGGATCTAAATGAAAGTTGTAGTACTCGTAAATACCAACGCGTGGATATAAAGAACGTCGATAATAGAGCTCGTATGCGAAAGATATGGACGAAGCTTAGTCCCTACTTTTCGAGCGCGGCGAATTCGATACAGTTTTGTAAATCCGAGATAGAATGAGAATTAGCCAACGAGGTCTAAATGAGAGTTGAAGATCTCATTAATAGGAACTCAACGGTAAAAAGACAGACAAAAATGGGGCTCGTATGCGAAAGTTATGGACGAAGCTTAGTCCCTACTTTTCGAGCGCGGCGAATTCGATACAGTTTTGTAAATCCGAGATAGAATGAGAATTAGCCAACGAGGTCTAAATGAAAGTTGAAGATCTCATTAATAGGAACTCAACGGTAAAAAGACAGACAAAAACGGAGCTCGTATGCAAAAGTTACGGACGAAGCTTGAGACTACTTTACTATAAAACTCCTATAAATACAAGGGTGAACTCCTCATATTTTCTTCACACCATAAGCCTCTCTTTCTCTCTCTAACTTCTCTCTAGCCTCCCTAAACCCCTCCCAAGTCTACGGAACCTCCCTAGCACGAGAAGAAAGCCCCGGAGCGCCGACGGCTCCGAGAAGAAAAGCTTTCGGCTTGGAAACGCTGCTCCAGCGAAGCCCGGTTTTTAATAAAAACTCGCTGTAAGTGAGCTACGCCTATACTATATTTAATATAGATTTTATTTAATTATAGTAACATTATTAGGACCTTAAAATAATTATTTGGGCTATTATTATGAGTTATATTGAGTGTTATTTAACGCTTATATAATAGTAATAATAGCTAGACTATTAATTAGTCGTGGTTAACGTTAAAAACTAAACCCTAGTGGTATTGATACTAGGTTTTGTCGAGGAAAATTGTTTTGAGATAACGAAGTGCTGTCTGAGTTCGGAATCACCACCTAATCAGGTGAGTGCATAGTCCCTTTCATCTTACACATAGATATGAAGTATTTTATAAATAACTACGTGCTATGTGTGCATATTATCTGAATACTTGCTGTCTATGCTGGATGAACGTTTTATACATGTTTTAAAGGATTTAAACTGTATACGTATTTTATTATACGAATATGTTGGGTATGATGATGGGTAGATAATGATGAGAGATAGAAGATGATGTGAGTATACATTGGCAGCTATAGACTTAGTGCCTATGGGACAAACACCGGTAGCTATGGACTTAGTACCTGTTAGACGTTGGTAGCTATGGATTTAGTACCTGTTGAACATTGGTAGCTATGGAGTCAGTACCTATTAGATAAAGACCGGTAGCTATGGATTTAGTACCCGATGAATAGACTATAGCAGCTATGGAATTAGTGCTTTATGAACGAACATTGGCAGCTATGGATTTAGTGCCAGTCCTATAACCCTGGAAGTAAGGGACTTCGGAATAAACAAATGCAGGATAGACGACTCTTACGTTAAATCCTTAAGAGTAAAGAAGATAACGGGATGGGTAATGGGTTAATTGTTTGATGATTAAACATAACAATTATATTATTGTGGGTTGAAAACCCTATGTACTCACCAGGTTTCCCAACCTGACCCACTCAGTTTATGTATATCACAGGTGTTGATATGAAGTCACTTTACACTGAGAGATTTAAAGAGATGTAGATCACTAGTGTAAATAAATGTAAGTTCTGTTTATGCTTATGTTTCTGTATTAACGATGACATCCCAAACGTTTTAAGATGAATAAAAATACGTTTCTTCGAAAATGTTTTAATAACGTATTTATCGTGTTTTTCTGGGAACAAATTCCGCAACCTTTTTATAAAATGAAGTACTCTGATTTTTATAAAGCATAAACAAAATCGGTTTTTCTGGCCGTGATTTTGGGGATGTCACAGTTGGTATCAGAGCATTAGTTTAAGCGAACTAGGAATATGGATTTATTTCTAGACTTAAACTTAGAATGCTAAGCGATGATTGTCAGGTGTGAGCACTAGCTTATTTTAGGAATGATGCCTAAATTGCTTTTATGTGCTAAATGCTTTGTGCATGATATGTTGTTATTTGTTCGGATCTATGGTCTGTTGCCGACCGGATCTGGAAGCCTTATATGTTTAGGATTCTAAGCGTTTAACTACGATATTAGAACTAGCATATAAACGTTTCGGGGTGATAAGGATGATTTAAGACGTCAATCCTAAATTAAGATCTAGATTCACCTTATTCGGTGTATAGATCAAGATGGCAAGAACCTGTAGCAGAAACGTAAACGCAAATGGGAACAGGAACCAACCCCAGTGGTTCAGCAAATACCTGTTGTAGAAGAAGTTGCGCCTGATCCAGTCACCATGGCTGGAGTTCAAGCCATGATTCGGGCTATGTTGGCTGAACAAAGGGAAGAAATGAGACAAATGTTGAATAGGGACGAACCTACCGTACATGTTGAACCGACAGAGCCAGTTCCCGAGCAATCTGAGGAAGGGAACTACAGTCGCCAAGTGAGTCAAGTTGGGACTCAAGGTGAGCAAAGGGATGGCCCAGAAGGGAGAAACAACAAGGATGGGCGGATGTACAAGAATTTCTTGGGTGCGAAACCACCAAGCCTCTCAGGAAGCCCAAAGCCGGTTTAGATTATCGATTGGATCTCTGAGATGGAGATGGTGTTTGAGAGCTGTAGCTGTAATGAGAAACAGAAGACTGTCTTTGCAGTAAGATAGCTGAAAACTGGAGTCTTGAGCTGGTGGAAGCTATTGGCAGATACGATGCCACGAGGAGAAGCCTTAAGGATGTCGTGGGAAGAGTTTTTGGAGCAGTTGAAAATGCAGTACTGCTCGGAGGTAGATCTGATAGACCTAAACAACAAGTTTCAGAACCTGAAGAAAGGGAAGATAAGTATTGACGAGTATGCCACCGCATTCACCGAAAGGATGAAGCTATTCCCCTACTTGGTGCCTACTGAACTCTCCAAGATTGATAGGTTTGCTAACGGACTGCCCATTGACTTTGGCCCAATGGTCAAAATGGCAACTACTTTGAAAGCAGCTGTTAGGGCAGCTAAGAACGTAGAGGCCCAGATAAGAGAAAAAGGTCTAGAAAAAGATAAGGTAGGAGAGAAGCGGAAGTTTGAAGGATCTTCAAGGCCGAACAAGGAAAGCAAATTCTCAAAGCTTGGAGGCGCAGATGGAGGTGAAGCAAGATGGTGTGATAGATGCAAGAAGAAGCATGGTGGAAAGTGCAACGAAGAAGTGACTTGTTACAAGTGTGGGAGGACTGGTCACTATTCCAAAGACTGCACGCATAATGATAAAGTATGTTATGGATGTGGAGGCAAGGGGCACATGTCCAGAGACTGCCCAAGGAAAAATAAAGCAGCAAGACCAGAAACGCCACCAAGGCCGAGTGCATTTCACATGATCCTTGACGAGGCAGAGAA